CTGTCCGAGTGTACATGTGAGTCATCTCCTGACCGTTGGATGAAGAACACCACCACGAGGAGTGCTCATCGGACGGTCTGTATTTTTCTCGTAATCTGTTTTATGGGTTTAAGTTGGGTTAGGTCATGGTTGGGAAGGGAAGATCTGTTGACCCCCAGAGGAAATTGAAATGAGAGTTGTTTAAAACACGTATCGTCTATTTATCCCTTTGTGTGTTCTTTCAGTTCAGAGGTGGTGTTTGTGAGACACGGATTTTTCAGATCGCTACTGTTAGTGAGCTTCAAAAAAAGAAAAAGAAACAAAAAGGTCTGAGCTTTTTTATGAGTTAGCTCCCATGAAAATATCTAATTTCTAATGTCTTACCCTTTTCTTCTTCTTCTTCTTCTTCTTCTTAAAGAAAGAAATATCTAGATATTCAGTTATGGATGATGAATTTCTCAACTTTAAAGAAAATGGGTTTTCCATTTTTAACATTTACTGGGAAAAGTTTAGTTAGTTGGACTACTAGTTGTGATTTTTTAAAGAAAAAATTTGATTTTTTTGTATGTTTTACTTTGATTTGAGTTGGTTCTGATGAACAGTGAGTGCGTGTGACAATCTCTAGTGGGATATTTTGCTTTTGGGTTTTGCAGTATATTTCTTAGTTGTGTAATCTTGAATCTATTCCATTCTCTCTCTCATCTTTTTTATTTTTCTTCTTTCTCTGCTTTATCTGGATAGCAAGAAAACTTGGGGGTTTTATCCACCCCATGTTTCTTGATTCACTTCTCACACGCTTAATCTTCGTTGAACTTTCCTTTTCTTAACCTGCCAACCACTCTTTACTTCCACTAAATCTGCAATCCTTTTTACTTATTTTGTTCTTCTACTTATACTGCAACTAGTCTTTGACCTATGCTTTATAGCCTACTCTTTATGAATTTCTTATATGTAGCCATTTTGATTCCTTCAGTAACATTCTTTTCTTCAAATTTGAAAAAGGTAGGGACTACTGGAATTCTACGTGTTAATGGGGGTCTGCCTGCATGTTCCAATAGTGAAGAGTGAGGGTTTTGATTAGTTAGATTCTTCCGTTGTCGGCAAGTGAGAAATGGTGTCAAGGTCTTATTCGAATCTTTTGGAGCTTGCTTCTGGTGAGTCTCCATCTTTTGGCCGAATGAGCCGGCGGCTTCCCCGGATCATGACGGTCGCCGGGATTATCTCCGATCTCGATGATGATCCATCGGAGAGCGTCTGCTCCGACCACCCATCATCGTCCTCCTCAACAGCCCACAAAGAACGGATTATCATTGTAGCCAATCAGCTGCCGATAAGAGCACAGCGAAAATCGGATAGTGGTAGCAGTGGTAATAGCAAGGGCTGGATTTTCAGCTGGGATGAGAATTCACTCCTCCTCCAACTGAAAGATGGATTAGGAGATGATGAGATCGAGGTGATTTACGTTGGTTGTTTGAAAGAAGACATCCATCCCACTGAGCAAGAAGAAGTTTCACAAATCCTGCTGGAGACTTTCAACTGTGTGCCAACTTTCTTGTCGCCGGAGCTGTTTAGCCGGTACTATCATGGGTTCTGTAAGCAGCAGTTATGGCCTTTATTTCATTACATGTTGCCCTGTCGCCGGATCTCGGTGGCAGGTTTAATCGATCTTTGTGGCAAGCTTATGTGTCAGTAAATAAGATTTTTGCTGATAGAATCATGGAAGTGATAAACCCAGAAGATGATTTCGTCTGGGTACATGATTATCATCTAATGGTGTTACCAACTTTCTTGAGGAAGAGGTTTAATAGGGTTAAACTAGGGTTTTTTTTGCACAGTCCTTTCCCTTCATCAGAGATTTATAAAACATTGCCTATAAGGGAGGAGCTGCTGCGTGCCCTGTTGAACTCGGATTTGATCGGGTTCCACACCTTTGATTATGCACGCCATTTCTTATCTTGCTGTAGTCGAATGCTTGGTCTTACTTATGAATCGAAAAGAGGGTATATAGGCCTCGAGTATTATGGTAGAACTGTTAGTATCAAAATTCTACCAGTTGGGATTCACATGGGTCAGCTTCAATCGCTGTTGAGCCTACCGGAGACTGAAACAAAGGTTGCAGAACTTGTTAAGCAGTATTGTGATCAGGGCAGGATAATGTTACTTGGGGTAGATGATATGGACATATTCAAGGGAATAAGTTTGAAGTTGTTAGCAATGGAACAGCTACTTATGCAACATCCGGAGTGGCAGGGGAAAGTAGTGCTGGTTCAGATTGCGAATCCGGCTAGGGGCCGTGGCAAAGATGTCAAAGAAGTGCAGGCTGAGACGTATTCAACTGTAAAGCGGATCAATGAAACATTTGGGAGACCTGGCTATAATCCTGTAGTATTAATTGATGCACCCCTTAAGTTTTATGAGAGGATTGCCTATTATGTTGTTGCAGAGTGTTGTTTGGTGACTGCTGTTAGAGATGGAATGAATCTCATACCTTATGAATACATCATCAGTCGCCAAGGGAATGAGAAATTGGATAAGCTTTTGGGCTGGGAACCATCTACTCCGAAGAAGAGCATGCTCGTTGTCTCTGAGTTTATTGGCTGCTCGCCATCCCTTAGTGGAGCTATTCGAGTGAATCCATGGAACATTGATGCCGTAGCAGATGCAATGGATTTTGCCTTGGAGATGGCAGAACCAGAGAAGCAACTTAGGCATGAGAAACATTATAGGTACGTCAGCACGCATCATGTTGGCTACTGGGCAAGGAGTTTCCTTCAAGATTTGGAAAGGACATGTCGGGAACATGGTCGAAGAAGGTGCTGGGGTATTGGCTTTGGCTTGAGTTTTAGAGTTGTGACACTTGACCAAAACTTCAGGAAGCTCGCAATGGAGCACATAGTATCGGCTTATAAACGTACTAGAACTAGGGCAATACTTCTCGACTATGATGGTACATTGATGCCACAGGGTTCCATTGATAAGACTCCATCTGCTAAAGCCATTGATATCTTAGATAACTTAAGCGGAGATAAGAACAATATGGTTTTCATTGTCAGTGCCAAAACTCGAAAGACTCTTGCTGACTGGTTTGTTTCTTGCGAGAATGTGGGAATTGCTGCGGAACATGGCTACTTCCTGAGGTAGATTTAACATCTCGAAGTTTCATAGTTATAGTCTTATGAAACCATTTGTTTGACTTGAATTGTTAACGATTCGCTTTCAGACTGAGACGGGATGCAGAATGGGAAACATGTGTGCCAGTGGCAGACTGTTCATGGAAGCAGATTGCTGACCCTGTGATGAAACTTTACACTGAAACAACCGATGGATCAACCATTGAGGATAAGGAAACTGCACTTGTCTGGAATTACGAGGATGCTGATCCTGATTTTGGGTCATGCCAAGGTAAGGAGCTCCTTGATCATCTTGAAAGCGTGCTTGCCAATGAACCAGTTACAGTTAAGAGAGGGCAGAATCTGGTGGAAGTTAAGCCTCAGGTTTGAATCACATATCTGCCTATATAGTTTGTATTCAGTTCAAGTGTCTAATCCACATTTAATTCTTTACTAATTCCGTGACTAAATTTTTCCTTTGGTATATTTGCACATGCCTGTTAAGATTGACTTTCGGTCTAATACCGCGGTCTAAATGGTAGGATGAGTTTTTCATGCCACTCTGTCTATGTATGTCTTGGGTTTGACTGAAGCTCTGCTTAATTCAACTTAGTAAATTCTTAACCAAAATTGGGTTTGCTTCCTTGAACCATGTTAGTTTTAGTTTCAGTTTGCAAGAGGTAATTGGATTGACTTGGGAAGAATTACCTGAACTTCTGGCTTGCAACAGTGCTGGGTATTATCTTAGTCATATCCCCCTAGCTCAGGTATTAAATGATCAGGAAGTGAAAAGAGTAATAAAGGAAAGAAACTAAGTTGATGCATGCCTGTAATTGGAAGTATGTATGTACAGCTATAAGATAACAACACAAATGGCACTAGGGTCGCATACTTTCTAAAATTTTGTGGATGCTGTTAATTGTTTCACCCTTTAGTGAGAATGGACATTGCGTGTCAAATGGAAGAAGAAAGAAAATTCGCTGACTAGTCATAGCTAATTTGGTTTGCTTTCACTTATTCCAACTAAAATGTAGCTACTGTTGTTTTTCCTTGAGCATCTCAACCAGGTAGTTTTCTTTCCGGACCATTGCATTTTGTCTCAACTTTTAGAAGTTTGCTTACTGTAAAATTTTCTCGTTCTTATGCAGGGCGTAAACAAGGGACTTGTTGCAAAACGACTTCTTTCCACAATGGAAGAGGCGGGCATGTCACCAGATTTTGTTTTGTGCATAGGAGATGATCGGTCTGATGAGGATATGTTTGAGGTGATCAGCAGTTCCGTCCCTTCCCTTGATCCGAGGGCCGAAGTGTTTGCATGTACTGTTGGTAAGAAACCCAGCAAAGCTAAGTATTTCCTGGATGATACAGCAGAAATTGTTAGGTTATTGCAGGGGTTGGCTTCAGTTTCGGAACAATTGTTTGGTATTTAAAATTAAAAAGGAAAGGGAAGGAAAGATTTGCTTTTGTGCTTTTAAGAATTTACCTTGAGTGGCTTGGCTTTCGATGCCTTTCTCTCCGTTTTTGCGATGTAAATTAACTAAGAGAAACTCTGAAACTGGATCAATGTCCAATAAAGTTGTAAATATGTGATTGTGTCTGGTTTACAGCAGTTGAAGATGGATTTTTTGTGATCTGGCCTTTTTCTACCAAAATCTTTGAACTCTTTTTTTACTTTGGTAAGACAATTAACTTTCAGTTCCTTGATTAGCTGTGATACGGAGTGTTTTAATCTTTTTTCTGTATTCTCTTATTGCCTTTGCTATTAAACTTGTCTGGTAATTTTATGGGGTTTTACTGCCGGAGCTGGTAAAACCTTCTTGCAGATTTACAGCCTAATGCAGTCACTGTTGGGTTTTCAGGGGAATTTGTTTCTCTTCTTGGGGCTTCCTTGAGTAAATTTAAATTTCTCTCTACTGTTTTCTTATTTTGGGCATTAGTTAAAAGAATAAAAAGCATCCAATCTGTTTTCTCCCTTTTCTTGGATACCTATACGTATATCCATAAATCTGTATTATCCATATCCACTGAACATTTTTGTAGCTTTATTTTTGTCTTATAGCCGTTGGCCGCATTCATCTTCTTTAGGGTTATTGTTTGAGAGAAGATTGTTTGTTTTGTTTAACTTGTTAGGATGAGAAAATATAAAATGATTTTTATTCAATCAAAATGAATTTTTATTTTAATCAAAAGTGATGCGTATACATAATAATCTACGGTATTTATATTTATTATTATTATTTAATTATGAATTAATTTTTTTGTTCATAATTTTATTTATAATTTTAAATTATTACGTGTATAGTATGCTTATATATTTAAAATAATTAGATTATAGTTAAGATAATTTTTTTTAAAGAAAACTTAAAAATTAATTCGGACTAATTAATAATAAGTTAAAATTGTTATTTATCATCTTTTGGGTTTTTCCCATCTTTCACACTAACCTGCAAGCAAGAGAGTTTAAGACCAACAGCCAAAAGTCCCAGTCAGCCAGTTGGCTCCACGCGTACTCTTTGCTGTATATTTGATTATTATTACGACACCTCCTGTCGACAACGTGCACGTCGGTTTCCGGAGTCTATAAAATTGTGATTAATCTTGGAGCTCTTCCCGTTGACCAACGGTAGTTTTGACTTTTTTACAAACAGCGTTACGGTTAACTGCTTGCTCGTGACATAATCGTTGAGATTTTTTTTTTTTTTTTTTAATAAATATTATAATTATCGATATTTGAATTGTAATTTATGAAATTATTACAGAAAGCATCATGATTCTTCTTTCCATATATTTTAATTATTATTATTCACGGGT